GGAAGAGATTGTCTTTCTCCTGAGCAGTGAGTGGATTTGAATGGCTGGCTTTGGGCTGGTAGCACAAGTCCTTACTCACTAGGTCACCAGAGCTCCCAGAGAAGCTATATTTTCTCTAATTTATGTTTTTCAGATGTTTCTTTTGTTAAACTATCACAATATCATAACTTAAGACTCAGTTAAGAATTAACAGAACATCAACATATGAATACTATGGTGTAGTTAGTATATTGTTCAAAATGGGTTTTCTGAGGCCACTGATTTATAACCTGTGTAGATTACTGATGAAAGGATTGGATAAATTTATCATTCAGCCAGATAAAAACTGAGCAAGTTTAGAGGACGAGAACAGAAATCTCACTACTAACAAGAAAGAGAAAGGAGAGACTACAGTGCGAGGCTGACCAGGACCCAGACAGAAGCCACAGCAGAGGACCAGAGACTGAAATGAGAAAGAGCTGACTTGGAACCAGATCCAGAGCTGGGGACTTTTCCCAACTTTGCTGGAAGGCTATGGAAGACACTGTAAAAAAAAACAAAACGACATTCTAAAAAAGCTTTCTAAACCTGACTTAAAGATTCAGAGACAAAGGTCAAATGTCCTGCAAACATGCCTGAGAAGGTGCTGGGACTGAAGAATTAAATTCTGTTTACAATCTGAATTATAATCTGATAACTTCTCTAATAAACCTCATAATTATGGTATGGTTCTGTTGAGTTCTCTGTAGCCTCTTCAACAGATTAGCAGACCCAAACGGAGCAGTGAGAGCCTCAGAAGGGACAGCTGGTGTTAGAATTGGTAGAATGTGCAGAAGCATGGACCTGTACCACCTGATCTCCTGAGGATCAGCTTTCCCCTATGCATGCTGTAGATGGGGGCAGTTCTCCCTTGAAGAGTTAGTGGAGGACAATGTCATGCCCACACTCCTTATCCTCTTCTTACAATAAGAAGTTAGTTACTGTCTACACGGCCATACCACCCTGAATGCACCCAATCTTGTCTGATCACTGATGTTAAGCAGGGTCAGGCCTGGTTAGTACTCGGATGGGAAGAAATCAGTTACTAAATGAACCACAGCAAATCTTCAAGATCGTAAATTAAAAAAAAAATTTACTCAGGCACTTCAAGTAATATGTAAAGGTATATTTGTAAACAAAAATTTTAAATGAATGGAAAATATTTTAATATTTTTGCATGAACCTTGGCCTAGAGAACTCCCCCTTGCCTTCTAAAAAAAGAGCCGTTAAACAAAGAAACAACAAAACATTGAATAAGCAAAACTTAAAAGTTTATCGTTGAAATTAATTTAATGGTGGCTCCTTAAAAAGATTGTGTCTCCTCCATCCAGTGTCTCAGATTCTCTTATCTTACTTGGAAAAATATGTTATTTACACATGTGATTAAATTGAGGATGAAGATAAAGATGATGGTGAAAGAGAGGGAGACCCTCAACAAGACAAATTGTCATAATGCCTGCTGCTCAAGTATGGTGGAGTGTCAGAGATTATGAAGACAGCACAGGAAAAGATGAAGCTTAGATCAGTTGTTCATAGGGTCACTATGAGTTCTACTAGATAGGACCTCACAACCACCACCACAAGATGAAGCGATTACCCTTGCTCACACAGGTGGATCCTAAATCAAATGACAAGTGTTCTTGTAAGAGGCCTGTTGAAGGTGATTTTATTCCATAAGAAGACTAGACATACAGAAGTGGATGAAGCAAGTAAACCCAGTGGGGGAAGACTGCAATCAAATGGCCACAGCCAGGAACAGCTGCAATCAACAGAAGTGCTAAAAGAAACAGAGATTCTTCCCCAGAGTCTACATGGCCAATGCTGCCTTCAGTTCTCTTGACTTCAGATCTAGGCTTTCAGAACTATGAAAGAATAAATTTTCACTTTACGTCACCAAGTTTGATGACATCTGTTCCAACAGCCACAGACACTAACACAACTATGTTATCTGTGCCTGCAAAAGAGTAGGCTCCTATCTGGAATCCATGTCTTCTGGTGCGTCTGGAAGCCATGTCTGCAAAACTGATTCAGCTGTGTAAAACTTTAAAATTGCAGATTGCTTATTCCAAAAGAATACATGTTATACATGGTGAAAAGATACTCAGTTGATAGTTAATACTCATGAGGGGTTCTGAAAGAACTTAAAATTACTACTGAAAGTTGTTAACAGTAATTCTAGCAACAGTGATTGGTTTTCTGTTTCCTCTGAAATGCATATGAAAATTAAGTGGTGAAAATAAACAATAGCAGATGTTTAGGTAGAGTTCAATGGAATATCCAAGGATGTGTGTTGAAAGTAGGTTTACCTGCCAAGCACAGACCATGAACTTTGTGGATCTATTTCTCCTCAACTTAAAAATGCTTTTCTAAAGAAAATATTGTCACAACTACTATGAATCATTTTATTTTTAGGTTAAAGTTAAAACACATAAAAATATAATTTTAATAAGTCTTTAGGGAGTTGTGTTCAAATCCACCACTGCTACTCAAGAGAAATCTGGGCAATCACTTCTTGTGTGATTTACAACCTTTGAAAACCTGCTGGAGGGTCAGCTATGAGTCAGCTCCAACTTGATGGCAATGATTAATGAAAATGTAAAAATATTCCTACAGTGCATATAATTTAATGGTGAACTTCCTTTCATTTAAAAAGTTAGCACCTTTAAAACTATTAAAACATCTTCAGAAATGCAATGTTTTACATGGACATATAAATGAAAGGATTTACAATGTCCTTGCAAAGCCGATAAACTTTAATTCCAGTAAAGGAAGGGGGGGGGGCAGGGAATCCAGCTCTCTTAGCAAATTAATAACTGAAATTTCAATCAAAACATTGCAATGACAAAAATCAACAATGAATTGCAGATTTAAAAAAATACAAATTAGTTGACAGAATTTCCTTGAAATCTGTTTTCCTTAAAAAATTGAAAACAGTTGATCTGCTGTTGATTTCATCTTAAAGCGATCAAAACTACTAAAAGCTTGCCTTTTCTGCATCAGAACTTCAAATTCTGGAAAAATACCTATGACACTTAAGAAAAAACCCAAAACCCCTTTGCTTTTGGTTACTAATATCTCCTTGTCAGTAATAAAAGGAAAAAAAAACTGTTGGGTCTATATTTTTCTTCAGTATTAACAACAACAAAAAAAACACCACCATTCACAATCTATATTTGATGATCAGAGAGCTATCAGTCCTAAGACTCCTAATAAATTCCATTAAAGGACACACATTGCAAAAAACATCACCAAGGATTCTTTTTACCAATTCACGAAAATCATCACCCGATAATCGGAACAAGGTGAGGGAACAGCCAAATCAATATTTGAAAGAGGAGGGGAAAACAGCTGAAAAATCAAGAAATAAGTTCAGAATGCCTATACTGAACAGGGTATAAGGTAAGAAGTGAAATTGATAAACATTTTAATAAATTGGATTTATGAAGCACAACCAATATCAATAGTATTTCTGACATCATATCCTATGGAACACACACACACACACACACACACACACACACATAAAATGAACAAAAAAACCCAGCAGACTATCTTTCTAAGTGACTGATCTTTTACATATTTCCTAAATCCATACACCACCCAAAGGCAGCTGACACAGGATATAAATACCTACCTATGATATCATAGTAATGTGGAACAGAGGTCCATGAAACTTTGGTCCATCAAGTGGGACAGAGGTCTATGAAACTTTTATACATACTTTCTATGAAACAGTTAATAGATGTTCGTTTAAATGAATGCCCTAGGTTCTTTCTCCTAGGTAGGGGGCTGTGCCGCCAACCCAAAGATAAGTGGTTCCAATCTAGGCAAGCTCCTCTCATGAAATTAGTAGCCTCTGAAAACCTGCAGACGGGCCAGCTATGAGTCAAGATTCCAACTCCAAAGCAATAAAAGATAGGGAAATTTTCTTTACCTTCCTCCACACAACCTACAATTTAGGAAAACTCAGGGTCAGCAAGCATCAGCAGCAGTGCAACTGCACAGTCAATCTACAGCTGCTTGACAGCAGGATGAAAGCAGCTGCTCCAGTGAGGAGGGGGAGGGATTTTTAAAAGACAGAAAAGCAAAGACAAATAAGAAAAGACTATTGCAATGGCTATGAGGAAGGAATAAACAAGAGGCAATCCTTTTTTTTGGGGGGGGAGGTCAAGAAGAAATAGGAATCAGAAGGAAAAATTCATAATTGTGTATTTTTATGGGACATCAAACATCCAAAGCATGCTGAGGGCCTTATACTTTTATTGCTTCCGATTTTCAAATTCAATCTGTAAATTCAATTCACAAAAGAAAGAGTAGTCAAACAAAAGATTAACCACACCTTTAAACCTAGTCAAAACTGGCAAGTATTGTATCTACAGTAAGGCTCCCATTGTAACAAATGTATTCACTTCCTTAAGACTGGGAAGAATGCAAAACAAAGTTGTATTTCTTGTTCAAACAGTAACATAAGTTTTAATAGAAGGTCTTCTAAGAACTTTTGAAAAGCATACTTTTTAGTTCAAACATCTCCTGTTCCAGCATTACCATCTCCTTGGGCAAAATGCCAAAACTGTCAAATGCTTGCCCTACTTAAAAGTTCATCTGCACCTACTTCAAGCAGTTATCTCAAGACTGGAAGGGGGGGTGGGAAGAGAACTTTTGTGTCCACAGTAAGACTTGTAATCTCTGTGCGAAGCAGGTACCACCACTTTTTAGTGATCACTGGAGACGCACTGGGTGAAGCAATGAACCAAACCTCAAGAAAGAACGTGAAACTCAATCCATAGTGGGTGACAGCACGTGTTCTCAGGTCTGGATATGCCTGACAGAAGAGAACTACCAGAAACCCAGAGAGGTCAGGGAGTTAACTGGCTCGAAGTTGGGAGAATCGCCCGGTAACCCTGCGATAACCCCCCGGTCCTCAGGTGGAGAGGAGTGAAGGCAGATGCGAGGGATCGGAGTCAGAGCGAGAAGAGCCTCACCTGCACCCCGGTGTAGTTCTCGAAGAAGAAGAGCACCATGCTCTGATAGATGCAGTAGAGCCGGTCGTCCACCGCCTGGTAGAAGCGGGAAGGCAGGAAGCAGGAGAGCAGCCTCCAGGCCCCCCAGGCCAGGACATAGGTGGGGGCCGTGCCCAGGAGCACGGCGGCCGGCAGCACGTAGCGCATCGAGTACGTGTGGAGCACCAGGGATAGCAGCATCTTCCACCGCCGCGCTCGCTTCTCCTCCCAGCCCAAGCGACTTCCCCGAACTACCCCGCTCGCCCTCCACCCAGCGGCGGCCAATCACCGAGCCCGTGACCGACAGACGCCGCCGCCGCCTCACCTCGCCGGGCCGCCCGCCGCCACCTGAGACGCGAACCTGCCGCCTCCGCCCGGGCCTCCGCCCCCTAGCCGCATGGGCTGCGCTGCCGCGGGCGGGAGGGCGAGCGAGAGCTCGGCGAGGGGCGGTGCCGGCACCTGGTTCCGCGGGGCCCGACCCAGGCCCGGCAAGGAGGAGCTGCCGGCGGCCGCGGGGTAATGGGATGCCGCGGCCCTTCCTGGGTTCGGGTGGCTCAGGGGTGGTTACACTTCATGACCCTTGCCTGTCACCATATTCCCCCTGCTGGGGGCGGGACTCCCGGGCAATAAGACGTCTCCTGATTGGCTGCGGCCCGGCGCCGGTTGAAGTGTAACTGATTGCCGGGCTCGCGTTCGGCACAGCGGTGTCAACTGCGCATGCTTCGAAGTTTAGCTCCGCTGTGGACGCGGGAAGGGGAGGTGGTGACTTTTCGAAGCAGAGTGAAGATGGGTGGGAACAGGAGAAGGGAGACTTGAAGGGTCTTGCACCCTTTTAGTTCAGCTAGGAGCACGGGTTCATTTGAAGTTCTCCTGCAAGGACGTCTTGTGGGCTCCAAAACACGCCTTTAAATAGTGATTTAAAGTTTTTCTCGTGTTTGGAATGTATAGATAGCTTACTAGGGATGCATAGATACAGCGCTGGAACTCATACATCTATGCCGCACACATCTTTTTAATACATTTACCCAAAAGGTATTAAGTTTTCTGTGGGAAGACGATTTAGACACAGAATACGATGTGATAAATGCTATCAAGGGTTCTATCACCAGAGTAGTGGCTGGTAGTTTTGCCCTCGGATCATCTACCTGAAAGTTGTTACGTGCAGTAAAGTTGCTTGCTAGTACAGTGCATAGCTGTGAACCCTGATCTACCCTGAGCCAACCTCACTGTAACCCAAGTCAATGAGTCAATCCATCTCTCAAGGGTCTTCCTCTCCTGTGCTGCCCCTCCGCCCTCCCAGGCATGACGTCCCTCTCCAAGGACTGGTCCCTCTTTGCAACATGTCCAAAGTATGTCAGATGAAGCTTCAAAATCCTTGCCTCCAAGAAGCAGCCTGGTTTCACCCTCTCCAGGACAAACCTGTTTGTTATCCTAGCAGTCCATGGTATATTCAATATTCTCCAGCACCACGACTCAAAGGCATAATTTCTTTTTCTAACATCCTTTGGACATGTCACTAGGAAAGGCCATTCCTTGGAGAGGGATATTATGTTTGGAAAGATGGAGAGTCAGCAAAAGAGAAGAAGAACCCCAAGGAGAGAAGATTGACACTGTGACTGCAGCTGTGGGCTCACAAGTGTTAGAGATGGTGAGATTGGCACAGGATGGAACAGGGTCAGTTCAGCTAGCTCTTCATAAGGTAGCTATGATTCATACTCTGTCGGATGGCATTTAACAACAACAACCGTAACAACAAAAGACCACAAGAAGGTAGCTTTTAAAAGCAAGAATGTATTATCTCATAGTTGTGGAAGCTACAAGTCTGAATTCAGGGTGTCAGCAAGGCTCCCTCCTCCCTCCCTCTTAACTGCTCTCCCATTTTTTCTTTTGACTCTAGGGAAATATCTTGGCTCTTCAACTTACTCACTATTAAATGCCTGCCTCCTCTCTCCCCTGGTAGGTGTAGATTCATGCTGTGGTTGTGTGTGTCTCTGTGACTCATAGTGACCCTTTGAACAATAGATCTGACCCCTGTACTGTCTTGTTCTATCCATAAAGTGGCCCCATATCCAACACAATGAAATGCCGCCCACTCCTGTGTCATCCTCATAATCATTGCTATGTTTGAGCCTGTTTTTACAGCAACTCTGTCAACCCAGGTCATTGAGGAATGACTTCTGTTTTGCTGATTCGCATTTTCTAGTTCCAGGCATTTCTTGCTTGTGTGTAGATCACATGACATCTCTCTTCCCTGCACATACTACTGTGTCATTTCCCCTTTATAAAGCCTCCATCAGAAGGAAATGGGTTTAAGACTCATCCTCCTGAAATGACTCTAACAAGATGGAATAAAACCCTATTTCCAAACAGGATCAGAGGCACAGAAATTAGAAATTCAACATACATTTTTTTGAGGGAACACAAATCCATAACACTGTCCTGTGGGGACAAAGCCAGGTGAATACAGTTCACTCAAGTATGAGTGTTTGAATGCCGACAAAAACCACTACACAGTCAAAAGACCTTAGGATTTCCCTTCCATTTCTGTGAAATTGCTATCTTGTTCTGTGACGAAGAATTAGATTTCATTTTAAAGGTAAGAACCAAAAGTTTAAAAAAACACAGGTAATGTGTACACTCAAAACTGCTCTTCTTGTAACTAAATAAAACCACTAATGCTTCCTTTACCTCACAGAGACTGGACCTTTCTACAATTAGAAAAACAGATAAAGAGAAAGCAGTTTTTGTGTTCATATTAACATCTGCAACTAAAAAGTCAAGAAATAGGTGTTAATATATTGCTTTCTGTAAATCAACAAACACCCACTATCTCCCTATCTCCGCTTACGGAGAGCTTTTGTTCACCTCCAGCAATTTGACTTCCCTCTTTGTCTCTGTCTCTACTGAACTTTGCTGAACACTGGGATATAACAGTTAAAAGATTGATTCTGTTCATGCCTCTGTGGTTTTATCATCTTACAGGGAATTAAATGTAGAATGTGTTTTATAAAAAGGGGAAGTGTCCTAATACTGTCATTAAACTGCTGTTGAGTCAGTACTGACCCTCTTTCAGAAAATCTGCTCTATTGGGACAGATCCAGATGGTCACCAGCCTCTACACCACCAACCTGCATCACCCAAAGTCACCATGTAGCTATGCCACAAGTGACAATCTGCAAGATCATTCACTAGTTTCTCCAAAACCTGCATGCTACCTATGGTCATGTGAATTAATCCTCTAATGGGGTTGAGTCTCTGGAAGAGCTTCTAGTGAATCTGAATCCAAAAGGGCCACAGAGGAATTGGGAAACTGAGCCATGGATGGAGCTGTTCATGTTAGAAATTATGGACACATATAGCTGACAAAGCATTTGTGATTACATTGACCTGAGACTTCTCATAAATATTCTTGTGTTGTTATATGCCATTGAATTGCTTGCAACTCATTGTGACCTTAAGTACAAAAGCTCTGAACCCTGCATTTTTTCTTGAGCCAGTTACATCATCTCCAACACACCTACCCCCATTACCCTACCTCAAATCAACTCATCTCAACCAGTTTCTTCCTCTCTTGTGCTTTCCCTTTACCTTTCCAAGAATGATGCCCTTCTCCAACGACTATTCCCTCCTGGAAGTATGTCCACAGTATGTGAAATGGAGCTTCAAAATCCCTGCTTGCAAGGAAAAGTCTGGTTTCACCCTCTGTGAGACAGACCTGTTTCTTCTTTTATAAGTTCACGATATATGCAATACCACAACTCAAAAGTTTTGGTCTTTCTTCTGTCATCCTTAGTTATTGCCCAGCTCTTGGATGGATGGATGGATGGATGGATGGATGGATGGATGAATAGCAAGTAATTGCAAAGATCATGGCCTGAATCAGGTGCACCTTAGTCTTCAGACTGACATTGTTGCTTTTAAGTACTCTGGAGAGGTCCCTGACAGCAGATTTTCCTAGTGCAGTTAGTCTCTTGAATCCTGGCTGCTGGTACCCAGAGTGTTGATTGTGGAGCCAAGCAAATTAAAGCTGCTAACAATCTCAATCTCTTCATCATCCAACATGATGTTGCCAATTGGCCCAGTGGTGAGAATCTTTGCTTTTTTAATGTTGAGCTTCAATCTATGATGAAGACTACAGTCCTTGACCTTCTGCAGCAATTGCTTCAGGTTCTCCTCCGTTTTAGCAAGCAGTTGTGTCATCTGCATAACACCAATTGTTGATGAGTCTGCCCCCAATCCTGATGCCACATTCCTCCTCATAAAGTGAAATCTCCTGGATGAACTGCTGGAGATGGAAAACCAAAAGGGATTAATTCACTCACAATTTCTTAAGCTGAAAGAATTGAAGAACAAATTCAAGCCTCAAGTTACAATACTTAAGGACACTATGGGCAGAATGTTGAATGACCCAGGAAGCATCAAAAGATGAAAGGAGTACCAAAAAGAATTGACTGACATAGAAGAATTTCATAGAACAACATATAATCAAGAGCCAATGGTGTTGAAAAGTGGCATTCAAGCTGCTCTGAAGGAACTGGCAATAACCAAGTCCCCAGAAATTGACAGCCATACAGATTGGCATATTTCAACAAACAAGTGCTGCCCTGGATATGCTCAACAGGTAGTGCCTAGAAATCTGGACAACCATCTGGCCAACTGACTGGGAAAGATCCATGTTTATTCCGATTCCCAAAAAAGGTGGTGTGACAGAGTGTTGAAATTACTGAACAATATCATTAATATCACATGCAAGCAAAATCCTACTGAAGATTATAAAAAAATGACTGGAACAGTATCAATAGAGAACTGCCAGATGTGCAGGCTGAGTTTAGAAGAGTCTGTGGTGCTAGGGACATTATACTGAATGTTAGATAGATCTTAGCTGAAAGCAGAATGTACGAGAGGAATATCTTATTTGTTTCATTGCCTATGCAAAGACATTTGACTGTATGGATCACAACTAGTTGTGGCTAACCTTGGGAGGTATGGGAATTCCAGAATACTTGGTTGTGCTTATAGTTCAAAATCAAGAAGGGTGTACACCAGGGATGCATCCTATCACCATACCGTTTAAATCTCAAAAATAGTTAGCTACTAATGTTGGTATGACGAATTATGAAAACACTAACCAAAAGCAACTTTATGCACAATAGGAATGGATCATTATGATCTATAGGGTTTTCATGATTAGCTCTTTTACT